CAAAGTGCTGGGATTACAAGTGTGAGGCACCACACCCGGCCTATTCCTGTATCTTTTAAAACTGTATTGCTATAGCCAAAAGTAATTTTCAAAGGCAAGGGGAATACTAATGACGGATGGTTATGGAAGTAATTGACAGTTCTGATAGCATTGTAATATGAACAACAGGTCTCTAAGTCAAAGATCCTTTTGTGCATAATGTATTACAGTTCCAGATGCCTTTAACTTCTTGTACAGTTAGTACTCACTTAATGTTGTCTTTAGGTTCTTGGAAACTGCAACTTTAAGTGGAAGGGTATAGAACAAAACTAATTTTACCTTAGGCAAACAAGAGTTAAGTTCCCACAGCATATTTCTAGTCACAAAAACATCACCAAACTTCTAAATAAAGACCCCAAGCACTTCTAATATTAAGCTTTGAAATAAATGTGAACTATAAATAGATCTAAGAAAGATTGATAAAAACAAGATAATTATTTACCCAGTTTTTGGTGAATCAGTGAGTGACAGCAGCATAGTGGTGATGGGTTAAATCAAGGGATAAATGTTTGCAAAATGAAAATTATAAGAAACACCTCCTACCACCTTGCAGTTCAAAAACTAACAATAACAAATATGGGAGGCTCATTGAGTACTTTCTTAGCATATCATTTATTATCATACATTTGTATGATTGTTGCATACTTTATGAGTTGTTATTTTATGGTAATTTGTATTCATTTCCAACCCGCTTATTCCAGTTCTGGTTAGTGGCTGGCCAGAGCCTATCCCTGCAGCTCAGGGTACAAGACAGGAACCAACCCTGGACAAGATACCATCCCACTGAAGGGCGCACTCACATGTGTATCCACACTCACTCATACTGGGACAATTTATTATTTTTTCATTTTTTTGTTTTTTTACATCACAACATTGTTACATGAATTGTTTACAATACAAACAAAAAGTGCATATATGCTATCTATGAATACAGCTCAGTGCAAAATAGTGACTTCTCTTTAAGAGGCCGTGATTCCTATTTCTAGCAAACTAAAGAGACTGCAAGTTGGTCTTTATCTTCTCAGTATTGCCTAGAAATGATCTGTAAATGCATGTTCCTCCTGCTACTTACCATAAAATGTAAAAAGGGAGTTAAAGGAAAGCTTCCTTGCTGGTTCCTACCATGTGAAAGATGCTATATTCTATTTTAGCAGGGCCAATATGTGGAAAATACCTAAATTTAAGTGTTATTACAAAAATGAAGCAATAATGAGATTCTGGCTAAAGAGGGCACTAAATAAGAATAATATATATTTAAAGGATTTAAAGCAAACAACAAAAAAAGATTGTTTAAAAAAGTAGTTCTAGGTGCACTGTAAGCATATAGGGTTTTTTTCCCATGTGTATTTTTAAACAATGGAAGGGTGAAAAAATAGCGTCACCTGTGTTAGACTAATTTACCTTATTGTATATGCTGCATCAGATGGAACTTTTGCATCATAGTTATAGAGAAGCATAGTTTGCCTCATACTATGGCAATTTATCTTCAATCAAAACCTTCCAGAGTCATTTTATTTTAGAATGTCCTGTAAACATTCAAATCGCCAGAACATGACTGTACAACAGCGAAGTGTTCTCTTGCATTAAATTGAAGATATCTGTTTAATTTTTTAAAAAGGAAAAGAAAATGTAGGAAAGGCACTTAGAGCTGTTACTTTATAAGTACACAACACCCTACAATTCAAAGCATCTTAATCTCCACCAGGATCAACAACAAAGTCATTTTTGTCATGCTGTTAAATCCATCATAATGGCTGATGCAGATTGGTCAGAGGGATCCAGCAAACACTGATGTCCATAATGGTGTTTTGGCAGCTAATATGTAACTCTTGGTCAATAGAGAGTTTAAAGGATCTTCCCTTTCTTCTTGATCTTTGCCAAGATTCTTGAAGAGTTCTGATGTTCTAAAATACATTGTTGACTTTTCAGTTTGCTTACTCATCCTCAAACTGACAGCGGTTTTTCTCTTAATTCTTTTTGCTGTGCTTCCAAATTGTTTTTTATTTGCATTAAATGAATGTAGTATTTATTTATCATTTGCGTCATTTCATGTTTTTCATTTGCATCATTTCATGGCACCATTGGAGCTCAACTTCAGAATCCTTCAGGTTTTGAACTACTTACTGACCATCTCAAATACCTGCTGTCTTGATCTCCATCTTCTTCATCTTACCTACTTGCTCCCTTTTTCCTTCTTCCATTTGTGCCAGAGGAAGACTCTCAGTAAGCTGCCATTTATTCTGTTATTGAAATTGTGCCCTAAAGAGTTAAAGAAACCAATGACTATACTCTTGGGCTTACAGGATAGCGGCTAAGAAAAGAAACAACTTAGTAAAAAGCTGAAACTAAAACTTTTCCCCAAAGAGTAGGAAACCGACAACCAGCAGAACTCCTTGAGTTTGCAGAATAACGGATTGAAGGAAAAAAACACCAAAAAACTGGCCTGTGTGGTGGCTCTCGCCTGTGTAATCCTAGCACTTTGGGAGGCCAAGGTAGGAGGATTGCAAGGCCAGGAGTTCAAGACCAGCCTGGGCAGCATGACTAGACCTTGTGTTTTTGTGTTTTTCTTTTTTTTTTTTTTAAGCCAGTTTTGGTAACCTGTGCCTCTAGTTAGGAGGCTGAGGCTGGAGGATCCCTTGAACCTAGGAGTTTGAGACTGCAGTGAGCTGTGATCACACCACTGCACTCCAGCCTGGGTGATAAAGTGAGATCCTGTATCTCTTTTAGAAAACAAAATAAAATAAATAACAACTTGCTGAAATGCTAACCCTCTCTCCATTGTGAGATTTTAAAAACTGGCTGAATTGGCTAGAACCAATATGGCTAACTAGAGTTTACACAGAATGAGCTTGCTAATTCCCGTTGCATGTTTCATACTGACTCCCCCCAATTTCCACTTGCGATCCATGAAGTAACATGAAGAAATAACTGTGCATGCCCAAGGACTTTCCAGTCCTCTCCTTCTAGCAGTCACCTGCCAATCCCAGAATTCACCCTATAAGGCTTTTTAAAATAAAATTATTGCCTTAAAACCAGCACAGGGAGACAGACTTGAGCTGGACTGCCATCTCCTTTTTGGTTGACCTGTTTGCTTTGCTCTTCTCAAAAACCCAACGTCATAGTATTGGCTTCTATCTCATCAGGCAGCAAGCCTCCCTTGCTTGGTAACGTTATCAACTCCATTATGTCACAGCTGCCAGTTTTCTGCTTCTGTAGTTCTTCATTATTAGTAACATCTTTCAAGTTCTGCACGTGTGTTCTTACCAATATATTTCTTAGAATGATGAAATCACATTGTTCGTCAGTGTTTTTTATTCTATGGGAAGGACCTGGATACTGTGGAGAATACAAATCTGTGAGGAATAATAAGTTGATTAATGTTAACTGGCCCAATCCAGATTCACCTGCTACCATAAGTGTGAATTCAAACCCTCTCTTCACCAATTTTTTGTATACTTGATTTGGGAGATTGGCAGATCTTACATAGCCTTTGAGGTTCTTCTGTTGCCATGGTGCTGGCATTGATGTTCCTCTCCTCACAGCAACAGATATCACACTATAGTGGGACAATTCAGACACTCCAGTTAACCTAACATGTATGTCTTTGGGATATGGGAGGACACCTGGAGAAAATTCATGCAGACATGGAAGGAATATGCAAACTCCACACAGATAGTGGCCCCAGCTGGGAATCCATTTTTTTTTCTTATCAACATTATAATAAAATGATGTTGAATGAAACATTATTCAAGGACCTCTGCTGTACTGATTTGAGTGGAAAAAAAACCCTTATCACAGCACTTCCTCTATTGTAAGTGAACAGGACAATTTTTTGAAAAGTGATCATGATAAGAAAGATTCTGTGATTCAGTGTTAGTCATAATCTAGTGATTTGCCTACCCCTTTCCCTGCCTTCTGCTTTTTGAATGTGAACTTGTTTGTAAAAACAGAACGGAGTTTTTGTTTTTCTTCCTTTCCCTTTAGCTTATTTCTCTACCCTGATTTGGAGGATTTTCTTTATTATTATTACTTTTTTTCAAAGAGATAGTGTCTTGCTATGTTGCCCAGGCTGGACTCATGCTTCTGGGCTCAAGCAATTCTCTTGCCTCAGCCCCTGGAGTAACTGGGACTACAGGCACATGCCACCATGCCCAGTGATTTTTCTATTAAATCCCTCACGTGTCTGTTGTTTGATTATAAGACAGTTGATCTATACACCTCAGTGATTGTGCAAGTCAATATTTTTTTCTCTTTAGAAAACAATGTATATATATATTCCTTGTTAATAGTGCAGACTGCCACCAATACATTTGAGGCATAAAAGGAAGCGAGGACAAATAATGTTACTAGAACATGTTTATTGATTTAGTTATCTAAACCTTTTAAAGAAAATGGGCAGTATTTCTTACTGCGTTGATAAAATTCCCAGATATTTAGTGAATTTTACCAACCATGTATGATTAAACTCTATATGTTTGCATTACTACAAATTGTAAAATTTTGCTATTGAATGCATTTAGGGAAACCTACAGGAATGAACTTGAACTAGTTTACCTTCTGCATTGTAGGGGAGTTAGGAAAAAGTAAAGAGGAAGAAATTGCTTTTCTGTGTTAGTCAACATTTAGATCATGGTGGGTGCCTGCAATCCCAGCACTTTGGGAGACCGAGGTGGACGGATCACGAGGTCAGGAGTTCAAGACCAGCCTAGCCAACATAGCGAAACCGAGTTTCTACTGAAAAATACAAAAAGTTAGCTGGGCATGGTGGCGGGCACCTGTAATTTCAGCTACTTGGGAGACTGAGGCAGGAGGATCACTTGAACCCGGGAGGCCGAGGTTTCAGTGAGGCAAGATTGCGCCATTGCACTCCAGCCCAGGCAACAGTATGAGACTCTGTCTCAAAAAAAAAAAAAAAAGAAAAAGAAAAGAAGATGTTCCTAACATGAATGTCTCTGTTTCAGATGGGTCATCTTACTCTGGAAGACTATCAGATCTGGAGTGTGAAAAATGTTCTTGCCAATGAGTTTTTGAACCTCCTTTTCCAGGTATGTTTAAGGTAAATAACAGCAACAGAGGGTAGTAGTACCAGTACTTCTACATCTTTTCCATCATATAGTAGTCAGAGTTGTTGTATCTAGGCTGCAAAACCATATATTATTTAAAAAAAAAACAAAAACCAGAACTACATTACACATCTGAAAGATGGGTGCTTGCTGAAGTTTCTCAAAATGTGATGTGGGAAATAGGAAAGTGGGATGTAGATTATTTTAACTCATTTTAGAGTAGTACACAGACATATAGAGAGTAAGTTGCAAAAGCCATCATAATTTGCTAGTTTCTTCATTATTGTCTTTTTAAAAGGGCTTCCTTGTAATAAGACTGACCAGGAGAATTTTTTTAAAAGAAAATAAATAAATAAATAAATAAATAAATAGCCTTCCTAATAAGTAAGGCAGTATGACCAGAAAGATGAATCATAAGGAGGTAGCTATACATTTTTCTTTTCTTTTTTTATTATTTTATTATTTTTTTAAATTTTGAGACAGGTCTCGCTCTGTCATGCAGGCTGGAGTGCCGTGGCGCAAGCATGTCTCACCGCAGCCTTGACTGTGCAGGCTCAGGTGATTCTCCTGCCTCAGCCTCCCGAGTAGCTGGGACTACAGGCGTGTGCCACCACGCCTGGCTAATTTTGTATGTTTTGTAGAGACAGGTCTTGCTATGTTGCCCAGGCTGGTGTTAAACTCCTAGGCTCAAGTAGTTCTCCTGTCTCAGCCTCCCAAAGTGCTGGAATTACAGGAGTACACCACCACACCCAGCCCAAGTTTTTCAAAGTATACAATCTCTCTGATTAAGAGATCATTGAAGGTATGAGGCTGTTTCCTAATTTTTATTATTTAGAAGGTCCAAGAAAGATTAAGCGGGAAGGAAGAATGAAAGCTACCAGAAGTCAACACTAAGTCATAGAGCTTCCCAAATTTTAACTATTGTCCTAGTTAAACTAATTCTCTTGCTCTGATTTTTAAGGATAATTTAAGTTTTCCCATTTTTATAGTTATTTGTGAATATTTAACTTGATTTAATAGTGCTTATTTTAGTTTCTTCTTATTTTATTTTTCTTTTACCACTGTGAAGGTCAGAATGGTTTAGTATGTTTATACGTATCATGATCTACCATTTTAAATAATGAACTTGTCTGCAACACATCTGTGTTGGAATAAATGGAAATTGGTCTCTTCCTGAGAGCTAATGACTAAGTTTTATGTATTTAAAACATATATAATCTGATAGGCCTGTAAATCAATTATTTGCTTTATTACAAGTTATAATTTTCAGCATAGATTCAAGTTGATGGCTTTATAAAATATATATGAAAATAATATAGATCACCACTATAAACACAACAGAATTGCTTGGTAACATGAAAATTCATCAACTATTTTTTATTTTTATTTATTTATTTTGAGACAGAGTCTTGCTCTGTCACCTAGCCTGGAGTGCGGTGGTGCAATCTGGGCTCATTGCAACCTCCATCTCTCAGGTTCAAGAGATTCTCCTGCCTCAGCCTCCTGAGTAGCTGGATTACAGGTGTATGCCACCACCCCCAGCTACTTTTTGTATTTTTAGTGGAGATGAGGTTTCACCATATTGGCCAGGCTGGTCTCAAACTCCTGACCTCAGGTGATCTGCCCACCTTGTCCTCCCAAAGTGTTAGGATTATAGGTATGAGCCACCACGCCTGGCCTGGTCAACTATTTTTATCTCATTTAAAATAATATCCTCAGTAGTGGGTTCTGTAGGCTTTTTTTTTTTTTAATTGAACTATTGTTATTTTTTAAAGTAACATTCTCATATTCAGTGTACGAAGTTATTGTATGAACAGTACATGAACGTATTCAATGTATTGCTTATGTACAGTTGACAGTTCATATACTGTTTGTACACGAACATATTCAGTGTACTCTTTATCTCATATTCACTGTATGAACATTTTGGTCACTTAAGTTTGTGTCTGAGTCATGTTGTAGCTCTCACAGAGTATAGCATTTTGACTTTTAGTTTTGCCTTTCCTATTTCGTCATTCTCTTACTGTGGACTTGGAGTGGCACTGTTTCTGTGACTCTTAACTTATGAATAAACATATACTTTAGATTTGCTTATGTGTATGCTTCCAACATTTTATACTGAAAAGCTGAAAAAGTTTTTTTCAGGAAACACCCTGAACCTAAATTTTACTATATTTTATTTACTCAACACCTAAATTTTATTATATTTTACTGTATGTGCTTTGTCACATATTTGATTATGCTCATATGAGCAGACAGTTATGCTAAATTGTTTTTATTTTTATCTGTGTTTTAAAATTGATAGAGTTAGCTTGTTAGGTTAATGATACAATATTGAATTATGCTTTTATTTGCCAAGATCTCACACATGGCTGAGTGTTTTGACTATTTAAAATCTATCATATGCAAGTGTCAGAAGAATTATTCTGAAATCTGTTCCTGAGGTAGTATCTTCCCCTTTCCCTTTTTCTTCCTTCCCTTTCTCTTCCCTTCTTACCTAGAGATTTGAAAGTTAGCCTCCATTGGAATGGCTTGTTTAAAAAAAGCAAACAAAACCCCAAAACCACAAGGCTAAAGTTAAAATTTGCTCAAGTGAAAAATTGATAATTCATGAGTTGAAAGCTGTTGCTAATTCAGATTCCCATTTAAGAAGTGGATCTCATGCAGAGAATGTGAAATAGTATGCAGTTAATAAACTTCGATTTACCATTTTTTCCCCTAGGTGTGTCACATAGTTCTGGGGTTAAGACCAGCTACTCCGGAAGAAGAAGGACAAATTATTAGGTAAATTTGTAGTTTCAGTTATATAGTTGAAATTTCAAATACTTGAAATATATTGGTTACTGAGGAACAGCATGTCCTATTTTAATGTAATCATTAACTGTTTCTCAAAAATAGTTACATATTGAAATATTTTTATTAAAGTACCTTCCTAGATAAGGGAAGGTACTATAGATTAATTAAGAAGGCAAATTCTATTTAACATTAAAATTGCACTGAATACTAAATTTGATTTTTTGAAATGAGATAAAAAGTAACCAGTTTTCTTTAGTACCAAAATATGTTTATTGTTGGAAAAATTAGAAAATAGAGCTAAACAAAAAGAAGCAGAGAAAGATTTTATAGATAATTTATAGATAATTGCTGTAGACATTTTTAATATTTATATAAACATATGCCCACAATGATATTTGTACGATTTAAATAAAAATGGGAATATTCTGAAATACCTATTTTATTCCCTGCTCCTATTTTCACTCTAGATCATATAAAATACTGCTTTAATATATATTAGAATAAAGCCTTCTTTGAATATAATTTTAAATGATTGGTTTGCAGCCCTGTTCATCCTCTATTATTCTTTTTTAATATAAGCTTATTGGACCAATTTTGTTAATAAAGTCTCTATGTCTTGGCTTAAGGATTTACTTTAGGATAAATTACTTAAGATGAAATATCTGGATTATATTTTAAAAACAAAGGTATGCATGTTTTATAGCTATATTCTAATTTTTAATAACTTGAGTGTCTTTCATTGCTTTGTGACATTGCTGTTATGCTACACATTTGTGTAGATAGTTTCAGAAATATGACTGAATTTCTAGTAAACTCTGCTTTTAAAATAAACTCTCAATAGGTACTGTCATTTGACTTTTTCTTGAAAGTATTGTGCATACAAACTCTTCAGTAGTTTCTTCTGGCTTGGGTTTCTGGATAGATGGGAGTTTACTAAAATAGAGTTATTTGGAATACCTGAGAACAGGATTACATATTCAACGTTTAAACAGGACATGCCAGTTAATACATAGATAGTTAAAGTAGTAGATATATTACTGAGTTTTTAAATGACAAGTTTTAAAAATGGTTATTTATGTATTATTTATTTATTTATTTTTAAGTGAAAGCAAGTTTATTAAGAAAGTAAAGGGGCCAGGTGTAGTGGCTCATGCCTGTAATCCCAGCACTTTGGGAAGCCAAGGCAGGTGGATTGTTTGAGCTCAGGAGTTCGAGACCAGCCTGGGCAACATGGTGAGACCCTGTCTTTACAAAAAATAAAAAAATTATCGAGGCTTAGTGGTACACGCCTGTGGTCCCAGCTACTCGGGAGGCAGAGGTGGGAGGATTGTTTGAGCCCAGGAGGTCAAAGCTGCAGTGAGCCAAGATTATGCCATTGCATTCCAGCCTGGGTGACAATGTGAGACTCTGTCAAAAAAAAAAAGAAAAGAAAGGGATAAATGGGTGGCCACTCCATATGCAGAGCAGCATGGTTATTTCTTAAAGAAGATTAAGCAAAATCTGTTTTTTTAAATGTTACTTTCATAAAACTCCAGTCTCATGTAGTTTTTATTTGTTTGTTTGTTTTATTTTCTGTCTTGGATTTTTTTGAGATGGGGTCTCACTATATTGCCCAGGCTGGTCTTGAACTCCTGAGTTCAATACTTTTTTTCTATTACAGTCTAATTTACTATAGTAATATATTCTGAAGTAAATATCACTTAGCACAGATAGAAAGAAAGAATGCTATGTAGCCCATATTTATATTTATTGGCTTATTTTACAACTACTCATAGCATCCCTATTTCAAAAAATAAGGTTGATATAATCTTATATTTTCATAGAAAGTTATTCTTTGCAAAATACGTGTAATTACATTATCTCATCTGGTCCTTAGAATAACTGCATGAAATTAGTGTCTCCCATTTTGTAAAAATGAAAACTGAGATTTATAGAAGTTGAGGACCTGAAATTACATGGGACTGGCAGAATCAAGTTTAGGACCTCTTTCTTAAAAGTACCAATAATCTGCTTTCTGTATTTTGTATTTTTTAATAAGTCTAGATTTAAAATTGTTGGTTCCAAATTGGTTCATTTCATCTGTGGATTTTTTTAAATTTGTTTATTCATTTTCAGTGTTATTTTATTTTGCCTCTCCTGTTACTTATAAAAATTCATTTGACTGTGATAATTATTAAAGGATGATTCAGGTTGGTTCATATGCAATGAGGTGAAACAAATATTTGTCTCTAACTTACAGTCAGAACATTGTTAAAAAAAATAAGTATCATGATTTCTGGAATGGCCGAGTGAAGATCTCAGCAAACCCTTTTCCCAAAAGCACTTAGAAAACTGAACAAAATTGTCAAACAACCATTTCAGGACTCTGGAAACTGACCAAATATATACAAGAAATTAAGAAGCATTTATTCAAGAACTGCTAATCTTTGGTGAGAACAATGGAAGTGTGTGGTAATTTAACCAGGAGCAGCTTTCATTTCCTCCCATCCAGCAAATCTGCATGATAGTTCTACAGGGCAGGTCAGAATGGGCTGACAGTCTGATTTATGATTTGAAGGAGAGCATGAATAAATGCCTCTCCAAGGATGTTATAAAACAAATACATACCATCATGGTGGTAAAAAATGAGGGGAAAAGGGAAACTGACATCACCAGCTTGGGGGTAAAATACTGGTTAGGGGAAGCAGCAGACTAACAACAGACCAGTCAAATTTTTGACAGGGAACAGGATCACCATAGTGAGCCTTAACAAGCTTTCTCATGTCCCCAGTGATCTGTAGACTACTTATACAAGGCTATACACAAACTCAGGAGAAACCAAAGTGAGCTTTAGCCCTTTATTCCTCCCTAGTTGAAGGTGAAGCCTTGCATGTGCAGAAAGTAAAAGCCAGGGTAGGCTTGTAACCTGCCTGAACTTTAAATGCATTCCCCAAACCATGTACAGATCCATCAGGAAAAGGATGCGAGTGTTACTGGCTCAAGGTGTTTCAGCACAGCCTCTCAACAGTCATTGGCTGACCGGTAAGTTAGGCTCACTCCAAGAAAGCCAAGCTTAACAATAAAAACAGAGATAATAAAAAAGAAAACAACAAGAAGCTGAGCAGCTTCACATTGCAAGATACTGTATGGGAAGTTAAACTCTACAGAATTGTTCCGAGAAGTTGTAAACAAAACAAAACAAAACAAAACACACGGGGTTCAGAATCCAGAGTTGCTAATGTAAAGTATCAAATGTGTTCAGTTTTCAACAAGAAAAAATGATCAGACGTGGAATAAAACAGGAAAGTGTGACCCATATACAAGAAAAAAACAAACAATAGTAGAAACTGTCTCAGAGGTGGCACCAGATGTTCTACTTAGCACACAAAGACTTCAATGCAGCTATTATGAATGTTTTCAAAGAGCTAAACGAAGCTGTATTTAAAGAATTAGAGGAAAGTATGATCTCACTGACTTGTTCAAATAGAAAATAGCAATAAAGAGATAGAAATTTTAAAGCAGAATCAAATAGAAATTCTAGCAGATTTGAGTTGACAGAGAAATACTCAGCAAAACAGAGTATGTATCAATAGAGATTATTTCATCAGAAAGAGAGAAAGGAGACCAAATAAATGAACAGAGTTTCACAAAAGGTGGAACACCATCAAGTCTACCAAAATATGCATAATGGAAGTCTCAGAAAGAAAGAAGCAGAAAAAAGTTTGACAAGATAATGTCTGAAAGTTCTAAAATTTGTTGAAAATTATTAACCTTAGAAGCTTAATGAACTCCAACTGTGTTAAACACAAAAAGATTCACACCTAGACATATCATTGTCAAAGTGTTGAAAACTAAAGACAGAGGAAAAAGTTGAAAGCCACAAGAGCAGAAAGACTCATCATATAGAAGGGGGGAACCACAATGTGATAAACAGCTGACTTTTTGAAACAGTAGAGCTCAGTATGCAGTAGTATGAGAAAGTGATATAAGGAAAAAAAACAAAAAAGCAAAAACTGTCAATCCAGAATTCTTTATCTAGCAGAACTGTAATTCAGAAATAAAGGTGAATTACTACCTGACTTCAAAATATACTACAAAGCTATAGTAACCAAAACAGCATGGCACTGACATAAGAACAGACCCATAGACCAATGGAACAGAGCAGAGAACCCAGAAATAAATCCAGGCCAGGCATGGTGGCTCACGCCTATAATCCCAGCGCTTTGGGAGGCTAAGGTAGGTGGATCATAAGGTCAGGAGGTCGAGACCATCCTAGCTAACACAGTGAAATCCCGTCTCTACTAAAAATACAAAAAATTAGCCAGGTTTGGTGGCATGCGCCTGTAGTCCCAGCTACTCGGGAGGCTGAGGCAGGAGAATCGCTTGAACCCAGGAGGTAGAGGTAGCAATGAGCGGAGATTGCGCCACTGCACTCCAGCCTGGGTAACAGAACAAGACTGTGTCTCAAAAAACAAAACAACAACAACAACAAAAAACCCCCACATTTAGAACCAATTCTTTTTTGACAAAGGTGCCAAGAGCATACATTAGAGAAAGGACAATCTCTTCAATAAATGGTGCTGGAAAAATTTGATATTCATGTGCAGAAGAATGAAACCAGATCCCAATTTCTTAGCATACACAAAAATCAAATCAAAATGGATTAAAGAGTCTGGGCGAGGTGGCTCATGCCTGTAATACCAGCACTTTGGTAGGCCAATGTGACCGGATCACCTGAGGCCAGGAGTTCAAAACTAGCCTGACCAACATGGTGAAACCGTTCCCATCTCTACTAAAAGTACAAAAACTAGCTGGGCATGGTGACAAGCGCCTGTAATCCCAGCTACTCAGGAGGCTGAGGTGGGAAAATTGCTTGAACCCGGGAGGCGGAGGTTGCAGTGAGCCGAGATTTCCCCACTGCTCTCCAGCCACGGTGATAGAGGGATATACTGCATCTCAAAAAAATAGAAAAGAAAATGGATTCAAAGACTTAAATCTAAGGCCTAAAC